GGTGAAAATATACATAGCCAAAGATACACCATTTCAAAAATTTCTACATGTACAATTCACTGACATCGATTACATTCTTCCAGTTGTGCAGCTATTCTCACTATCCTTTTCCAAATTATTCCATCACCATTATCTTCAACTCAACTGCTCCCTAGGCTTCCCATCAAACCTTATGAAAGGCTTTCTTACCTGGTTTTTCAGACCAGATTTCTTTCTCTCCATATGCCTGGGGCCACGCAAAGGCCCCATTATATATGCATACTTTTCTTGAAGATTTGGGGAGGAGGAACTTTTTTATATTAAAGCAAATGTGTATTTTTGAAGTGAAATTGCAATTTTTTCTTTTTTAAGCTAACCTAGGAGCATTCAGAGTACTTTTGTCATTGTAGGAGGTAACTTTGGGCTCTATCCCTAGGTTTCCCAGAGAATTTGCATTTACTTTCCTTTTATGTTAGGGATTCCTAGTTTAGAAAAGTCTGAGAAACTATTTTAGTGTATGTGGTAGGGGGCCGTCCATAAGTATCAGTTATACAGTCATGTTTATTTTAGTTGTGAGTAAGTAACAAATAGGAATTTAATATTTTGTACATTTTTAAAGGAAAATTCCAAACATATACAAAAGTAGGCAAATATATAATGGTCACTCATGTAACCATCACTCAGCTTCAACAGCTTGTCAACTCTTGCCAGTCTTTAAGAATTTAATTTTATGTATATTTGCTAAGATTTGACAAGATAAGCATCTGTAAGGTCAAGGTACTGACATCAGAAGCATTTCTGAACAAAGATGTTGCAGTTGGTGGGTGGATATGACTGTGTTCAGCTGTTGTGTAAGCTTACATAAATAGTATCATCCTGACTTTAATCTTTCGGTTGTTCAGAGGTAGTGTGCATATTTCTCTTTAAACCCTGGAAACATGCCAAAATAATTTGTATCCTTTTCTCCGTCCTTGGCACCTTGACTCATAGTCTGTGAATGAAATCAATGAGTTGATATTAGGAGCCTTTGGATAGAGCGATTGAAAAAGATGATTTTGATTTAAAAAAAAAACAAAAAACTATTGGGTACTACCAGGTAAATATTTTGGAGGTTGTAAAATCTGTTTTACTTTTTAACTGTTTAGGAAGTGCATTCTACAGACAATGGGAACATAGAGTCAGATAGACCTGGGTTCAAATCCTGCTGACATTAGGCAAATTACTTAACTTCCTGAGTCTCAGTTTTTTTCAGATGTAAAGTGGGGATGTGGGTTGTTGTGTGAATTAAATGAAATATAACATTTAACATTGATTACTTTAAAATATTGTTTGAACACTGACTGAGTAGAAGTGCATCTTGAGTTCAAGTCTTAAATGAATTTGTTTAACTATGAGCTTGAGGAAGTACCATTAATACTTACCAGGCAATTTAGAAACGGGAGCTAATCTTTATTACATCATATCTAATTTTCCGACTGGTAGTTATAAGATCTGATGATATAATGGAAGATCTAAAGAGAAAGTGAAAGTGTTCCGTTATGTTTGTACAAACGTTTTGAAACAGGGAATTATAAAAAATAATGCTTCATAATTTTTTCTTATTGAATAATTACAGCAAACTCTGGCCTGTTCTATTCTAACTGCACTGTTGAGTGAATTCTCAAGTTCAAGTAAAACTAGCAACATTGGACTAAGTATGGAATTCCATGGTAACTGCAAAAGAATTTTTCAGGTACTGGTTTTTTTATTGTTACTTTTTAATTGCTAGATCATTCACTTTTTACTCAATCTTTTCTTTATGGGGCAAGACTATTAATTCTGCGTGTACTCAAGGATTTGTGTTGCGATTTCATAGGATACAGTGAAGGGATAGGTTTGGTGAAAATAGTTGATCATTCAAATTACTTGTATAATTCTAGTCGAAACAAATTCTAGTTTAATTTTAGTCAAAACAAAAAGGAAATACTAATCTAAAGATCCTTAGTTTATTACTGTTTTTAGATGTAATTAATTCAGTTGGTAGGACTTGGCTAGTCTTAAAAATAGGCCTGGCAGAATGCCAAAGAGGGCCATGTAGTTAAAATGTTATTGCAGATGGTGTGGGCTCTTTGTCTCATATGTATTGTTTGGCTCTGGAGCAAAGTTATGTGAAGGCATTGGTTTAAATCCTGGGGCTCTGTAGTGTAACAACTGACTTTGCCAGCTTTGTAGTGGTGCTACAAAGTCAAAGACTTTGTCTATCTATTGGTCAAATACGTACTTCTCTATGAGAATAACATTTATATCACAGAAAATGTATTCAGATTGGTATTCCTTGAAAGCATGCAGTGATGTAAAGTATGAGCAGGACTAAAAATGGAAAACATTCTTTGGGAAACAGTATTTTCCATTGGAAATATTAAGGTATTTGTTTTGTTTTATGGTTCTGGAAAGGAATATATTTAGAGTATGCATTTGATACAAAAATATTTGTGGTTATCTATTTACTGTAGGAAGAAGACCTTCGTCAAATCTTCATGCTAACTGTTGAAGTTCTGCAGGAGTTCAGCAGGCGGGAAAACCTCAATGCTCAGATGTCTTCAGTATTTCAGCGTTACCTTGCCCTTGCTAATCAAGTGTTGAGCTGGAACTTTCTTCCTCCAAATTATATCCTTTTATCAACTGAGTAGTTTTTTTGTGGTAATTTTCATAGATGACTTAATTACTGCTCATTGTAATTTATCTCTGCAGTTGTAGAAGTGATTTGGTGTGGTGACATCCTCAGACCTCCTCATCTAACTTCACAAGGGAGGAGAATCACCATCAGCATCAGCCCAAGGCTAATTCCTATGAGGTGGAGGTCAGACATACTTCCTCTGTTCAACCTTTTTACCAATTCTGACACCAGCCTTCCCTCCCACAGCACTCTACTTCTCTGCTAGGGGTTTGATAATTCGTTGCAGTGCCACACAAAACTCACAGACAATACTTATGATTATGGGGTTTATTAGGGAAGTTAGGGGTTACAATTCAGGATCAAGAACCACTCAGGATACAGTTCTTCAGTCAGGACAGCTTCTCAGCCATGCCTGCCTCTCTCTGGCCTTTGGCCTATCAGCCTCTTGGCATCTAGGCCCTCAACTGGGGCAAGTGTTACAAAGCTCTTTAGCTCTACCAATAAATGCCCAGAGGCATGCCATTCCACCAGTAAGCCTTGGCCGGAGGATGCTCAGCTGTCTTTCTCCATGGGTCAGTGAGCCCCGTTCTGCCAAGTGCCCAGAGGCACCCTACTCCATTGGCAAGCTTCCTGTCTGAAGGTGCTCACTTCTCTCACTCCTTGGGTTGGCACACCACTGTAGCCACCTTGCACTGTGGGCCAGGAAGCCCACATCACCGTCTCATGATGGTCTTCTGGTTCTGCTGCTGTCTTTTCTCTGCCGTACCTGCTGCCGCTTCTTGCCATCTCGTGCTTCCTTTGGTGTTACACCTCTCTGTCTCCTGTCTTCTGAGTCTAGGAGGTTCTCAGCGCAAGGACTCCCACCCCTACAAGGGTCCCGTGCACCTTATTTGTGTTAGCAAGCTGTCCAGTCTGCTTGCTGGACCACAAGCACCTTATTTGCATAGTCCCACCTAGTCATTTTGTGAGAGTCACAAAGACTGTGACTAAAAGGGTCATATTAAGAAATTCATTGCACCATAGCAGTTTTTGTAAAACATGTCGTTAAAATAGTGGTTTTAGAAATGGAATTTAATTGCTTTTATTTTATGATACTACATTTCAGTTGGACTACTTAGAAGATTTAAAATTTTATTTACTGCTTTGTAGAAGAGAGTTGAATACATGGAAACATTTATTAGGTAATGAGGCTATTTCTAACTAAGGAGTAGCTTGAGAAGGAAAAGGAAAAAGGTGCAAAGTACATTTTTATCAAGAAATTGAATCATTTTCTTCCTTTTAACATGTAGTCACATTGGATTTATTTGACTAACTTTAAGGCTGGTTTAGTGTGCTCTGTGGAATAATTTGATCTTTATAGATGGCAATATTGTTCAAGTACAAGTAATAAGATAGTAATATGTTTATTCTTTGAAGTTTCTTTTCCAATATGAAAAGATGAAAATCTAATTTTAGGTAATTATTTATGAGTAGTACTAAAGAAGTTTTAATGAGTTATAGATACATATCTGCTTTTCATCAGTTACAGAAATTTGTATTTTAGAAAGCAATTCCTTAAAGTTTATGATTTGCTATTTTGGAACACTTGCTTATTGATAGATTGAAAGCAATAATATATAGTGGCTACCCATTTGTAACATAGTTAAGTCAGCAGACCTGGGTTTAATCTCAGCTGACCTTAGGTAAATTACTTAACCTTTCTGTTTTTCCACTATAAAATGGCAATATGAGTTAAATTCAATAATACATTTAAAATGCTCAGGTCCTAGCTACTTTATTGAGCTCTTAATAGCCACCTTGAATAAAGAAGTTCATCATATAGCGATCTGTGTTTTGCATTTCTTTTTATATTGTATTCTTATATAATGTAGAAAATTTAGTTTAACCTATTCCAGATGTCTTTAATCAGTCTTGTTTGAGAGGCGAAGGGGTCTATTTAGGAGTAAAAGGCAGATGGGCAAACAGGAAAGAGAGCTTCAGCCATAGCAGAGATTTAGGATAAGACTTACCTTTATTCCAACAGAGTCAAGAGCCTCTACATTCATGTATGTAGAAGCAATCTAATTATTTGTGATTGGTAAAACTGGGATATAAGGGGGTATGGTATGGTAGAGTGTAATTTTTTTTTCTTTTATTTTCAAGCTAATACAGTCACATTAAAAAAAAGAAAAAAGAAAAAACCAAACTCTTTGCCGTCTAGTCGATTCTGACTCATAGTGACCCTATATGACAGAGTAGAACTGCCCCATAAGGTTTCCAAGGAGCAGCTGGTGGATTTGAACTGCAGACGTTTTGGTTAGCAGCCAAACTCTTAACCACACTGCACCACCAGGGCTCCAGTAATATAGTCACACAGTAGAAAAATTAAGTATAAAAGGCTATCTAGGGAAGGAAAGATGAGTCTTATTCCTCAGACTCTGAGTTCTCCAGTATTCTTCCCAGAGGCAGTCTTAGTGAGCTGCCTCTTTGTGGAGGAGAAGCTTATAGTGAGGCTATCACTTTCTTCTTTTTTTTCACCTATTCTCTAGACATCTTTCCCCTAATAACCAATTTTGTATCTTTAATATATTATCTTTTTTGTTGTTGTTGTTGAGGCTCATATTTTCTTAGGTTTGCTTTTTTTAAGTTTCCCCTTCAAGTATTGCAGCATTATTTTGCTCCAGTTTTTGTTAGTAAAAGAAAAAGATGTTGAAAAACACTGAGACAGATTTAAAAAGTGTCAAGCCATATGGAGCCATCAAAACATTAATTATATCTGTAGGGAAAAATTGAAAGTTACACTGCATATATTGTTGCCAATTTTAAAGTGTCCGTTTTAGGGGAAAAATGTAGTTGGCTGAAGAGCAAATATTTCCTGAAGGGAAACAGTTCTTTGGGAGTTTGGAAACAAAGTTTGTGTAAAGATACACAACACATAAAATATTTTTAGAAAGTATTCAAATAAAGCTTTGGAAAACCTGTCATCTAAAAATAACTACTCCTACAGTATTGCCAAAGCAGATAACATCCTTGATGAAAGAAAAGTACGTTTTGATCTTGCTTTCAGACTTGAGGATGCCCCCCAGTTTATGGCTGAAGAGTCATATTATTTGACCTCACACTCTAGATGTTTGTATAGTAACCATTTGTCGGCTGACTGAGCTACATACAGTTATGTATGCCTCCCTTTAAGTGAATCAGCTTGAAGTACAGGAGAACAAACCTGGAGGTGGGATTAAAGTAACCTACGTTTTCAGAGCTAATTAAAGAAATCAGTTTCAGGGAACCCAATTCTGATACAGTTTCTGATTTTGGCAGTTACCTAGAGATTTACCATTCAATCAGTAGGGAAATAGTCGAATAATTATTTAGCTCTGTATGTTGAATAAGACTAATGATTAAATTTAACTCAGTTAAAATGTATCGAGTTGATGATTTTCTTTTCATTTTTTTAATGTTTTGTCTTTTAGGATAGACAGATGAGTAGCAAGTAGACCTTGTAAAATGTGTTCATGTATTTTGTATCCAGTATGTATAATCACTTATAATGGTATCATGTTAAATGAGGCTATGTTAAATTTTAATTCCAATCTCTAATCATAATTTTTTATAATTTCCTTTTTCTGGGTAACTTTATTTTGATATAATTTCAAACATACAGAAATACCACAAGAATAGTTCAGAGAACTCCCATATGCTCTTACCAGGATTCACCAGTTGCTACCATTTTGTCTCATGTATTATTGTCTCCCTTCCTACCTCTCTTTCTCTTTTTCTCTCTTTCCACGTATGTATGTATATGTATTCATGTGCATGTACATGTATACACACGTACGTGCGTGTATGTATATGTATCTAAGCACGCTTATTATTTCCGAACCTTTCAAGAGCAGTTACAGATATCATACCCATTTTCTGCTAAATAATTCACTGTATATTTATCTAAGATCAAGAATTTTGGTAATTGTGTTTTGTTTATTGTAAGAAAATGTCTTACAAAAACAGCACAATTTTCAGATCAAGAAATTTAACATCATTATGGAATCCACAGTCCATATTCAGATTTTCTTAGTTGCCTCAGTAATGTCCTTCCTAGCTGTTTTTTTTCCCCAGTGCAGGAGTCAATTCATTGCATTTAGTTGTCATATTGCCTTAGTCTTCTTTAATCTGGGAGAGTTCTTCAGGCTTCCTTTGTCTTTCATGACCTTGGCATGTTTGAAGAGTATAGGCCAGTTATTTTGGGTCTGTATGATGTTTCCTCATGATTAGATTTAGGTTATACTTTTTTGTAGTGATACTGCATCCTCAGTACATTATGCCAGGAAGCCATGATGTCACTTTGTCCCATTTGGGGGAATGTTCCCTTTGATCACTTTGTTAAGGTGGTATCTGCCAAGTTTCACCATTGTAAAGTTGTCTGTTTCTTTTTGTAGTTAATACACCTAGTCCTCACTTATCTACTGTCTCATTATCCAACATTTCGCATTTATAATAATGAAAAATCTATTATGTGACTATTTTGTGCATTAACAAGGTGTCAGGCATGGCAGCAGTGGCTGTGAAGCATCTGCTCCCTCAAGGAGGGTCTCTAGTGGCCTCCAGGAAGCTGGACAATGCTGCCTTGTGCCCTCTGCTCCCTCCTGCCAGTGGCCTGGTCTCCTCTGTGGCTACGGCCTGTGGTTGGATGCACAGGCAGCAGCAAACCAGCGGGCACCTGTTCTGCATTCCCAGCTCCTATGTGACCCGAGGCCCTGCAGCTCAAAATTACTGTAGGTGGGAAGGGAGGAAAGAAGAGGCATCGTAGAGGGTGTTTGGAAAACGTGCTTGTGAGTTTAATGACATCCCAGTGAGTGGAACTGGATCTGAAGCCTTTGCCTCGGTGGGGCCAGGAGCACAGCCAGGCTCCCATCGCCCTCCCAAGAAGCTCCAAGCCTCAGTGACTCGCCAAGCCTGGAGGGGAGAGCAGGCTCCTGGATTGTGAACGCAAGGCTTACAGGCTGGGAGTGGAGCC